TGTGCTTAGAAATAATGGATCTAATACTCACTAAAATACTAGTAAACCAAATTCAGCAATACTTAAAAGGGATTATGCAACATACCCATGTAAGCCTTATTCCAGGAATGCAAACTTGGTTTAACATCTGAAAATCAATTAATGTACTATACCATATTAGATATTAGTAGAATGAAGAATAAAAAACCGTATGAATATCTCAACAAAGGGGGGGGGGAAGCCTTTGACTCCTCAAGACAAAGATGCTCACAAACTAGGAATGGGAGGGAACTTTTTGATAAAAAGGCATCTATGAAAAACACAGACAACTTGACACTAAAAGGTAAAAACTGCTTGTTCCCCCCTTAGATCAGGAAGAAAACAAGAACATTCACTCTTGGGCTGTGTCACGGCAGTTTTGCTGAAGAAGACCACCAGCCTTGAGGGACTGTCTGTATATGAGACACACAAGAGGCTAAGACTATTGTACACGAAGATTCTTGATGTTCTTGAGCAAATTCCTAAAAGTGCAGCATATAGAAAGTATACAGAACAAATTACAAATGAATGGCTGACTATGCTTAAAGCAGAACCAGATGTTAAGAAATTAGAAGTCCAACTTCAGGGTGGCCAACTAGAAGAGATGATTCTTTAGGCTGGAAATGAACTAAGTCTGGCAAGAAAAATAATGCAGTGGGAATCATGGGAGCTCCTAGTGGAAGAACCTCCTGCAAACAAATAAAAATGATCAATATAATCATGATTAAATGACTAGTGTATTGATGGGAAACTGATGTAATTAAACATTCTGCTAACATTAAAAAAAAAAGTTCACTCTTGCCACTTCCATTCAACATGACAGTATATAAAAAGTGAGGGCAATTAGACAAGGAAAAAAGATAAAAGGCATTCAGATTGGAAAACAAGAAGGGAAATTATCTCTATTTGTACCTGATTTTGTATATAGATCTTATATATAGAAATCGTAAGGAATGCATTGAAAAACTATTGGGACTAAAAAATAAGTTCCACAAGTTTGCAGGGTATAAGATCAATATATAAAAATTTATTTTTGTGTATCTATATGCTAGGTAGCAACATTCTGAAAATGAAATAAGAATATAATTTCATTTATAATAACATCAAAAATAATACACAGGGATAAATTTAAAAAAGAAAAAGCAATACTTACACATTGAAAACAACAAAACATCGTGGAAAGAAATCAAAGACGATCTAAATAAATAGAGAGACATTTGTGTTCACAGACTGAAAGACTTGATGTTGTTTTTATTTTTAATACTTCATATTGTTAGGAGAATAGTGTTATTCAACACAATCCCTATCAAAGTCCCAGCTGGCTTTTTTACAGAAACTGACAAGCCAACTGATTCATACAAAAATGCAAGAGGACTAGAATAGCAAAAAGAATCTTGCAAAAGAAGCACAAAGTTCGGGCACCTGGCTGGCTCAGTTGGTAGAGCACACAGCGCTTGATCTCAGGGTTGTGAGTTCGAGCCCATTACTGGGTGCACAGATTACTTAAAAATAAAATCTTTAAAAAACAAAAATTAAAAAAAAAAGAACAAAGTTAGATGACACACTCTTTTGTTTTAAAACTTAATACAAAGCTACAGTAATCTACACAGTGTGGCATATTAATAGACATATTGACTAATGGGACAGAAGTGAAGTATTCAGAAACAAACCCTTACATATACTGTCAGCTGATTTTTTTGACATGGTGCCAAGACAATTCAAAAGGGAAAGAATCATCTTTTCAATAAATAGTGTTGACAGCTAGATATCCACATGGAAAAGAACAAAACTGGAATAGTACAAAGCACCACACATAAAAATTAACTTAAAATGTATCACAGACCTAAATGTAGAAGCTAAAATTATGAAACTCTCAGAAGAAAACTCAGGTGTATTGGTATTGTTCTTGGCATTGGTTACACAATGGTTTCTTAGATATAACTAAAAATACAAAGAAAAAGAAGATAAACACAAAATATTAAAAATTTCAAAATTCTGGGCACCTGGGTGGCTTAGTTGGTTAAACGACTGATTTCGGCTCAGGTCATGATCATGGAGTCCTGGGATTGAGTCCCACATCAGAATCCCAGCTCCATGGGGAGTCTGCTTCTCCCTCTGACCTCCCCTCTAATGCTCTCTCTCTCTCTATCTCTTTCTCTCAAATAAATAAATAAAATCTTTAAAAAATTTTTTCAAAATTCTGAAAGGCAAACCACGTCAAGAAAGTGAAAAGACAATCCAGAGAATGGGAGAAAGTATCTGTAAATCACATATCTGGTAATGACTTATCTCCAGTGCATAAAGAAGTCTTTAATCTCAATAACAGAAAGTCAAATTATCCAATTAAAATTGGGCAAAGGACCTGAATAGACATTTTTCCAAAGAAGACATACAGATGGCCAACATGTACATGAAAAGATGCCCAATGTCATTAGTAATTAGGAAAATGCAAATCAAAACCACGATGAGATACAACTTCACATTTACTAGGATGGCCACAATCAAAAAGATATATAACAAGTATTGGCAAGGATGTGGAGAAATGGAAACCTTCATACACTGCTGGAGGGATGTAAAATGGTACAGCTGCTTTGGAAAACTACTTGGCAGTTCCTTAAAACATAACACAAACATAAAGTTACCATGTGACCCAGCAATTCCACTCTTAAGAATATACCAAAGAGAAATGAAAACATATGTTCACCAATAACTTGCACATGAAGTTCATAGCAGCACTATTCATAGAACCAAAACAGAGAAATAACCCAAATGTTCACCAACTGATGGATAGCTAAAATGTGGTATGTCCATACAGGGGAACGTTACGGGCACTGAAAAGAAATGGAAGTAGTGATCCATGCTACAAAACAGATGACCCCTGATAGTGAAAGAAGTTAGCCACAAAAGGGTGTGTGATGTATGTTTCCATTCATATGAAATGTTCAGAAATAGCAAATCCACAAAACTAGAAAGTAGATTAGTGGTTCATTAGGACTGGGGCTGGGGGTTGAGTAGGCTGGGAAAAGAGATTGATGGTTGTGCAACACTGAATGCACTAACAAATAAATTGTACATTTTTAGTGGGTGAATTTCATGGTATATTAATTATATGTCAATCAAGTTGTTTTTAAAAAATAGAAATAATGGTTCTAACTGCATGTTTTCAGAAATAATGCTTAATGGTCTTCCTAAAACGTAGAGAAACAGATGCAGCCCTAAGCTGAAAGTTCAAGAGTGAAAAGCAAGCTGACTTGTAGTCTAAAATGATTATTTTACAAAAGCCCAAATCAAATATCTTTTATGATCAAGCATAACTTTTTGTTTAAATTAATTTTTGTATAAACCAGCTGCACAATTTCTCGACATGATTAGTCATTTTATTGGGATTTATAGCAATCTGGGCATTTTTTTGCTATATTGGGTAAGAGCTAGGACAGTCATATTCTAAAATTCTACTCTGCTTCTTAGTGATCAGTTATGTAATATTCCTCGCTTTTCGTAAAGGCAAAATTCACTTTTCTAATATTAACCCTAACAATATTTTGCAGCAAAAGAACTAAATTCAGGGCAGTACTTTCTACTTGTTGTATTTGAGCGCTGATTTAATTCTGTTTTACCAGTGCAGAAATTTAAAATATTAACTCTTCCTTAAAATGAAAGAAGTCACCCTGCTTTAGAGAAAGACAAAGGAAAGGAAGCCTCATTTGCACAAGATAGTTTACTAAAGTTAAGATCCTAATCAACACCCTCCCCTGCCCATCCCATCCCCAAAAGCCATCAATACGAAGTCTCTGATGTTCTAGAGCTTTGTACAACCTTGTCCTTAACAGGAAGAGAAGGTGTGATCTTTTTTTTTTGATTTTGAGTTCTCTCCTTTGTAGAGGGTTCCTCTGTGGACATTAAAATAAGCCCCAACAAAGCTTATGATTTCTCAGGGTGTGGAGCTCCGCAGTATAAACAAACCCATGTGGGGGTAAGTTGGAATGATAGAATGCTATCTAGCTGGGAGACATCCTGGAGCTGATTAAAAAAACCTTCATCTCTGCCCTGTCACTTCCTTTCAACAAGATCCTGTTAATGTTTACACAATTTTAAAAGTGTATCAGATATCTCAAGGAATAACGTAAAAGGCCCCTTTGGGGTTTGGTTTTTTTTTTTTTTTTTAATGTTGGTGGAAAAATATCAAAATAGGACCGTTTACATTTATTTCATTATCCAATCACAAGTAACGCCACCAAAAAGTTGTTTATCCCTACCCTGCTGGAGAAATGCCAAGCTTACCTTCCTTCCCTTTTTGAAAGAAAATGGAAAAAAACAAACTTTTTCAACAGATCACTGTATCTTAGAAACGTTACCCACGATTCCATGAAACGAACTTCAGCCCTCGATAACTGAGTCTGTGAGGTACGTTTCCCCCAATGTTACAGCGTATGTGGCTAACAAAAACAAAACAATTGTCTTTAGAAACGATTAAGCCCTTTTAAAGTTAGTTTCTAAGTATTCAGAGTTCTGCCAGGATAAAAGAAAGCAATCAGCACTTCTACTCCGAAAACAAACCATAAATCAGTTGACAAGCTTGAAAGAATTCAGTCCTAGTCTGCTCGGAAGCCAAGCGTAAACACAGAAAAACCTGTTGGCACGTTTGTCTTGCTCTCTAAGTTTCGCGTTTTAAAAACACCGCAATACGCAAACGGCCTTTCTCGCAACTTTCGGGCTCGGGAGAAACTCAGATAAACACTCAGGCGAGGCATCTCCTACGGAAAATGGAGCCTGTGCCTTTAAGGTGAAATCGGCTGGATCCCAAAACGCATTCCACTTCTCCGCGACAAAGAGTTTGGGGGAGCGCTACCTCTCGGGTTTCTCCGAGGGACTTGGCGGCTTCGGGCAGAGCCCGACCTGCCGCGGAACCCTCGGCCGTCCCAGCTGCCCTGAGCAAGCCCAGCGCCCGCGCGGCGGAGGCGCCCAGTGCGCCCTGGACTCACCGCTGCTGGGCTGCGGGGACAGCGTGGAGACCGAGGTCTGGCCCATGTCTGGGGTCGCGGGGCCAGGTCTGGCGATCACGCGGCTCCTTTGGTCCTTCGGTCATGGGTCCGCTCGCAGGCAGGTTTCCAAGCGTTCATTTCCCCGGCTGTGCGGAGCGGCCCTCCGGAATCCCTCACCTTCTCCCCCGCGCGGGTCTCCCAGCCCGGCCGGCCGCAGCCGGCGAGGCGGATCCTGCCCAGCGGATGCCTGTCATTCCTCTATGCAGATTAGCTGGGGTCAGGGGTCACGGGGGAGGAGGGAGGGGAGAGGGTGCGGAGGAGGGGAGGTGGGGATGGCTGTAGGGGGCTGAGTAGTGGGGAGGGGAGAGGCCCCTCGGGTCCAGCGGCGCCCGCGGGGGCTGTGAGGCCGGCACCCCCCCAGGGTAGTAGAGAGTTCAGGCGACTCCCGCTTCACTTAAAAGGTTCAATGTCAAATGATCCCTTAGGGCTATAAGAAAAGGAATTAAAGTACTTAGTCACGGTACTTAATTTAACAAAATTTGTTCTTTAAAGTTGATTTCTTCCTCACGTTCTGTTGGCACTGCTGCAGGACTGGTAGATGTCTGCTGTGTGGGGCTTTCCTCCTTAAGTTAGCTTCCTTTTAACAAACAAAAAAAATTAGTGGCCTCAGCTACCCTGAACAATAAATCTGATAGATGGATCTATGTGTGAGACCAGCAAAGGACAGGCCTTGCTCTCTACCAACTAAATTCCAGTAAGCTCACCTGTCCTATAAATCACTGTGAAATCTCTGAAACCTTGTGGTAAGGTGTTTAAAATATACAAAATGGGAAAACAACAAAAAAAAATGGTAATTTGTTTTAGGAGCTAACATTCCCTAAAAGTTGAATTAAATCCTCCCACAAGTAAATCTCAACCCCAAACTTCTTAAAAATATGAATATAGATACTCTTGGTATATACAATTGATGAGTAATCTATGGAGTGTATATTATAAATATTATATGTATTATACATATACATATATTATACATATACATAATATAATATACACTCGATAGATTACTCATCAAATGTATATATGTATATGTATGTGTGTTTGTGTCTATACATATATATATCAATAGATTGTACATTAGACATTAGACAATGTACATTGTACATTAGAGCACATAAATGTGTTCACTTGATGAAATTTCACTGTATACTATGATTTGTGCATTTTTCTGGATGGGCATATTTCATTAAAAAGTGAAAAATTAACTGCAATATATTTAGTGCATTTGCCACAGCGTTCACTTTTTAGGTTATCCTAGACATTCCACTCTAAATATTAAAAGCTATTATATATATATTATGAAACAATAATCTAACTTATTTAATACCTTAAGCATGAAAATCTTTTTTTCTGAAGTTTGTATTACTAAGATCACACACAGCCTTACTTTATTTTTTGAAAAGCATTTACTTGTCTGATTCATCATAATTAGGCATGTTGCCCGATTTTGTTCACACCCAAACAGTCCACCCTCTATTGTGGAGAATTTTTTCCCCTATAATAGTGTGATCAATTATCTATTTCCCTTTGCCTAATTCATTCTTAAGACACTTGATTTTTTTTTTTTAATGAAATTGAGGATTAACCAAGATGTGAGTTCTAACTAGGGCAATGAAATGAAATCAACTGAAGTTCTTTATAAAATGCAAAACTGTGGGGCGCCTGGGTGGCTCAGTTGTAAAGCATCTGCCTTCCACTCAGGTCATGATCCTAGAGTCCTGGAATCAAGTCCCACATCCGGCTCCCTGCTCCGCGGGGAGCCTGCTTCTCCCTCTCCCACTCCCTCTGCTGTATTCCCTCTCTCGCTGTGTCTCTCTCTGTCAAATAAATAAATAAAACCTTAAAAAAAATGCAAAACTGTTGTATTTTGGGAACACATCCCACCTGGGGGACTCATCAGTGAGAGGAAACAATTATAATGGCCTTTCCATTTCTTTGCTTTAATAAGTTTGCCTTAAAACAATAACAACAACAACAAAAAATTCAAGTTAAGTGTTTTCTCAACTGAAATTGAGAGGAGGGAACTTCACACTCTTCCTTTCATTGATTGAGCCCAATTAATAAGGGAGGTTACTGATCATAAGAAAGATATGGCAAATTTTGCACATTAAAAGTATGTAAATGGAGGGGCGCCAGGGAGGCTCAGGCCTTTAAGCATCCACCTCTTAGTTTCTGCTCAGGTCATGATCTCAGGGTGGTGAAGACTGAGCCCTAATTGGGCTCCTCCCTCAGGCGAGTCGGCTTCAAATTCTCTCTCCCTCTCCCTCTGCTCCACCGGCTCATGCTCTCACTTTCTCTCAAATAAATAAATAAAACCTTAAAGATTATGTAAATGTAATGATTTTTTTAAATGACAAAGGCTAAATCATTACTATCATTTTGCTATCATTACTTCTCTTCCTTGAGAAATAATGTGTTTCTTTTTTATTTCTTCTACAAATTCTTATTTCAAACATCAAAGGGGTACTCTGTAGTTCTCTTCTTTCAGGATTTACTAAATCCATCTATATTTACCTTACTCAAAACCTTTCAGGATTTGCTAGTTAATATAATCTTAGCCTCATGTGAGATTCTTATAATCCCCGATCAAGTTACACCCTTTTCTCTGAAACTTTTCCAGTTCCATTACACTATCCTTGAAACATGTCAGCCAAAAACTGCAATAAGTATACATCAAGGTTTCTTTATAAGAGTGGGACAGTTATTCTATTTTGTTGCCTTTTTATCAAGGCTAACAAATTATACTAATGAACATAGGAAAAAGTCTACAGAAATCCCTAAATTCCATTTATAGGTCATCACATTAGAATTTATCACCTAACAAGATTATTTTAAGAAAATTTCCAAAATTGTCTTTTTCTTGCCTTATTAAGATAATTATTCAGCCAATATATAGTCTTACTAAGAGCTCTGGGTGTTAATCCTACAGTTTATGGCTAAACTATGGGAACATTTATTGTCATCGGAAAAATATGGACGTTTCTCTGTGTATTACCTCTTTCCAGGGAGTTTATAAAAATGTTAAATAAGGGGGCGCCTGGGTGGCTCAGTGGGTTAAGCCGCTGCCTTCGGCTCGGGTCATGATCTCAGGGTCCTGGGATCAAGCCCCGCATCGGGCTCTCTGCTCAGCAGGGAGCCTGCTTCCTCCTCTCTCTCTGCCTGCTTGTGATCTCTCTCTGTCAAATAAATAAATCTTTAAAAAAAAAAAAAAATGTTAAATAAGATTAGTGCCGGAGCGCCTGGGTGGCTCAGTCGTTAAGCATCTGCCTTCAGCTCACGTCATGATCCTGGGGTTCTGGGATTGAGTCCTGCATTGGGCTCCCTGCTCCTTCGGAAGCCTGCTTCTCCCTCTCCCACTCCCCCTGCCTGTGTTCCCTCTTTCGCTCTCTCTCTGTCAAATAAATAAATAAAATCTTAAAAAAAAAAAAAAAGATTAGTACCAACATCTAACTCTGAGGAAGCCATCTATTTTTTAATTGTTCAGCATTTATCCCTTTGGTCCTGTTTTTTGGTCGGTATTTCTAAACCAAACTCTTATCCAGCGATATCCTGATAAATACTCAATACTCGGGTTTGTCTGGGGGTGGGGGACAAGATTGGTTTGGGAAGTATACATTGTATTTGCCGATTTCTTTAATGTAAATACTCCTACAATGGCCAATTCAACAAGTCATCAACTGGCTTGCAAAATTTATGTCAATTCGTTTGCAAAATTCCTGGAAATTTAACAACTTGCTTCTATGAGCTGCCTTCAGCATACCACTACTTTCATCCTTTATAATATCCTGTCATCAGGTCATACCATGACTGACATTGAGGAATAGTCTATGTTAAGCTCTCCTAAAAATATAAAATGATGGCATCTACTGATTTTTCCACCCTACAGTCTAAATAACTTTCAATCCCTGAAAGATTTATTCATTTAATTCCAGAAAGAAGTTAAAGTGAGTGGATTAGTTAGATAGAATTTCCCCTTCCTGTATCTGGTTTGCCTTTTGACAAAAAGGTTGTAGATACACATCGAGGTTTTCAAGCAGTTTACCTCCTCACACAGATTTCACTGGTCTGATTTGGAGTTATGAAGCTCTCCTAGCTAGGGTACCCAAAGTTACACTTGCACCCCTGCTGGATGGAAATCACTAGATCTACTAGATAAAAGTGAAAGGCATAAATAAACCCAAACTTTAGCTATCTGTTTGTGGAAAGGTCCATACCTACTAGATCCAAGTCCAAATTGTAGATACACAATTCAGTGGCTAGAGAAGATGCTGTATAATTAGAACAGTCATCACTACCAAATCCTATGCTTTAGGTGACTGCCAGTCTTTTCCAGGTGGCCTGGAGTGGGAGAAAGAGTGAGACCTTTCTCCCTCAGAACTTGGAGTGGGAGAAAGAGTGAGACCTTTCTCCCTCAGAACACAAATGCCATGAATACACATCCTGAGGGTCTGCTTTGCCCGGATGCCACAAAACCCATTTTGAGATACCAGCAGCTGGGTGGGAGAGAAGGGTTCAGCAGGCTCCCAACAGATGAGATGGTTGGTCAGAACAGTGGTGGTCCAGGAAGCAAGGTGGCTGGTGGTGACCATGTACATGTACGAGAAGACAAAGATTCTCTTAACTGGTGCTCTTATTCCTGGACTTGGCCATGAAAATTTGGTGAATTACAGACATGTCCCTGAGTCAGGGGAATTACAGTCAAAGAAAAACCCTTTCCTACTGGGAAGGAAATGAAAGTGATTAAAACTGAGTAATTTCCCAAATAGGAATTTTTTCCCCCAAAGTACTAGTTTGTTTTCTAGATAACAACGGTCAGAAGAAACAACAGAAATTCACAGGTCATCTAAGACTACTATGTTAGCCAATTATTTTCTTTCTATTTACCATAATCAGATTTACTAAAAAGCAAACAACTGTCTTTTCTTTTTTCCGCTGATGGAGGTGCTAGAGGGTAGTTTCTATTTTTTTAGTATATGTGCTGCCAAAGCA